GCCCATGAGTTAGTTGTCTGTCTTTCTTTTTTTGGTCTGTTCGGCCATCATGTTTGCTGCACTTTGTCATTCATGTGGGATGTTTTCATGTGAGAGCTTGTGGATCGAGATCATGAAAACAAATAATACAGAGGCTCTGTAAGAATGTCATGCTTGGGTAAGAGATTATGTTGATACTGTCTTACCCTTATAGCACTCAGAAAACAGTCTGGAGCCATAAATGTATCTAAAGGAGAAGAACCCAATTGTAGATGGTTGGTCTGTAACATCCTTACAAGCACTTTTTGAATTGGATAATGGTTGGACTAGATTTTCCTTTGAGGGAGAATGTGGGAAGCACTGTTTCTGTCTCACTTTAATAGAGGATTATTCTCTTCATGTCTCTTCGGTACCAAGAAGATGCTTTGTTAGCCAGGATCACTTTCTCTATCCAAAGGTGAAAGGAGGCTCTGCATGCCTTCCCATAATCTCTTTTGGTAGCAGAGCCCCTGGGGAAGTTCAGGAGTAAAAGTTCAATGATCTGAACAGCTGCACACTGACCCACGTAGCCATGATTGTCAACTGAGCTGCAGTAACCAAAGGTGATGCCATCATCATGCTGAAAATTTAGCCTCAGGCCATCATCACTTGAAATCATAGCGCCTTGCTCAATCTTAACCTGCAGGTGACTCCTAAGAGGGTAGTGATTTGCAGACATGGTGCCTTTTAAATGCATGACTTTTACCCCCATGTCATGTTGCAAGCCACTTGCTAGTAAGGCCTACAGTCCTATGTGGAAAGGCATGCAGAATGGTGCAGTCAAGTCCATTAGAATGCAGAGGGATGTAATTTGTTGTGTAGAAGGCAGAATAGATTTTCACCTTATAAATCAGGGGGGTCAAGTTTACCTGGCTTCACAGCATACCTGAACTGGTGTGTGGGTTGGACAGGGACTAACGCCTTGCAGAATGTCCATAGTACCTGGCCCTGCTTGCATGCCCGACCCTGGCACAAGGCAGATGCTGCCTCCAACGTGTGAGCTGCATCCAGTGTTTCATGCAGGCTGTGTTTGATGTACTTGTTATAGAACAACCAAAGTGTGTGTGTGTGTGTGTGTGTGTGTGTACTGTACTTCATCACAGCATTTGATGAAGTGAGCTTCAGCTCACAAAAGCTTGGGCTATACATAATCCCCAACGGGACGTGGTACCTTCAAATTCAGCAGTGATGAAACGCAACATCTAATGAAGT